TTTGAACAGAAGTAAACTTGAAGACCTTGTCAAAACAATTAGGTTAAGCTTGACTAATCAGCTGAACTCATTCTATTAATAGCCAAGGTGGCATCATTATTCCATTAAGCTTTGTCTGGAATATTGGGGGCAGGTACATATATCTATATAGAAGAGGTTAAACCAGATGAACCTTTCCAGAATGAAAGTACAATAATTGCCATTTATATTTCTTCAATCTGGGAAGGAATATTCTGCCTGGCTGAACAAAATAGGACACATGAAATTGAGACTTTTTCAGAAAACTTTGTTATTTTGCATTTTGCAAGAGGACAGTTGCTTTGTAATGGCTTGGTTAGGTGGAGTCTAAAGTTATGTGTTATTCTCATGGAATATTATCATACCTGTAGTCAAACTATGTGCAACATTCATCCTATATAAAGTACTTCTCAGGCAGATTATGTTTTAGCTGAGACATTAAATGGAATCTGATGCAATTAAGATAATCAGGAAACAAAGACACACTTTTGATTTCTCTAAGCCTCATGGTAGAAGGATATAAAATTGAAAAAGAGGCAAAATCAGGTTTTATATTTTCAGATTAACCAAATGCAAATTTATCAGCTACATCCAAACTGTGACTGATTACCTGGGAGTTCACATTCTGTCACTATTCACCCATTTCCTTCATCCATAGCATGAGTCACTTAATGCTACAGTGCCTTGTGTAAAGAAGCTTAGTCAGCACTATGGCGTCAACTGACAGCATTTGAATTTAGTTTTCTTTTTTTTTTTCTTTTGTGGCAGATTCCTCTCCAGCTCTAACCGATAAGTGTTTGTCTATGGCTCCAAGTGGGAGTTGAACTTCTTTAGATATTTCTGTGCATAGCTTCTTCAAGTGATCATCCACAGTACTGAAAAACCCAGGCACTTACTCATAAAAACTCTTCCCCAGCAGCAGTTTCTCCTTCTCAGCTCTCCCAGGAAAATGTTTGTGTCTCTGAAACTTTATCCCAACAAACAAAAATGCAACAAAATCTTTACCTAAGAGAAAAGGCCTGAGACTGCTATTTAGGCATTGCTTTTAACCACCAGCTGGGGCAACAAACTGCAGCTGAGAGCTACTATCTATATACTGCTGAAACCATAAAGATAAGCAACTAGGACAAGCATCCCAAGGTCCCAAGTACCTGGGGTTTAGGTAAGAGCTGCATAAGTCACCCAGAGTGCAGGGGCATAAGAGGAAAGCATGTATTTTAGGCTCCATACCTCAAAAAGTTCAGTGCTACCATTGAAACATTTTCTCATGTTGGGAACGTGGAAGCAACAAGTGGACAAAAGATCCCCATCTCCCCAACCGTCATAATGTTGTGGAGCTATAGGGCACCTAGATCTTAGTGTTTTAATAAAATAATTTAATAATCTTTGCCACAGTTCTTTGTTGCTATCTCATGGCATCTATACTTTCCCTTTAGTAATGTAATCATTTATTTTGATGGTTTGTACATTTTCATGACTTAAGACCTTGAGGAGGTCAGATCCATCACATAATCTATGGGAATATTAATGAGAAAAAAATAGACTACAATTCCCCATCTGCCTGGTATGTTTATGGTAAAAGAGCTGCATGTGTGAAGGCACAGTGGATTAACAAAAGATCCTATTAAGTAACAAAGTAGTAGGGGCTCCCTACTTTTCTTATGGGTCATTGTGTTAATAATGGACTTAACACTATTGAAACCACAGCTAACCTCTGTTCTCACTATACATGACAAGTACTGTAGCATCTAAGTCAGGCTTTAGTTCTCAATATGCAAACAGATTTAGGATTTTTTGGTCACTGAAGAAGTGCATGCACTCACATGAACAGCTACCAAAGGAGTTGTAATAAAAAGTAATGCTCTGTGACACATAGCAGCATTGAAAAATACCAGTTGTTTGTCTCCAAAACACACTTCCAATTTTCTTGAAGAATGGAGTTTGGTTTAGAAATTAAACTTATATACTTCATTTTGCAGCATGTTCAGACAAAGTACTCTCTTAGGTGTTTTCAGCATTCCGACTACTGTCTTTATTTGCTCCTTCCTTTCAATTTTTTATGAGGAAGTTCTTTTCCCTTTCCCTTCAGCTAAAGGAAGGGCTTCCTTCCTATTCTAGCTTCAGAGCTAATAGGTGATATTTCTTTTTTGTTCATAGAAATTTTAGAGAGATTTTGACAGGAACTTTTTCAACAAAATGCTTTTACTTGTACCCAAAGGCCATGAGCAACCAATATGAGTTTATCATAGAATCATAGAATGATAGAATGGTTTGGGTTGGAAAGGACCTCAAAGATCATCTAGTTCCAACCCCCCTGCTATGGCAGGGACACCCTCCACTAGATCAGGTTGCTCAAAGCCCTGTCCAACCTGACTCTGAACACTTCCAGGGATGGAGTATCCACAACCTCCTTGGGCAACCTGTTACAGTGCCTCACCACCCTCATGGTAAAAAACTTCTTCCTTATATTTAATCTAAACCTCCCCTCCCTCGGCTTCCACCTTGTAAAAAGTCCCTAGTAAAAAGTCCCTCCCCTTCAGGTACTGGAAGGCCACTATGAAGTCTCCCCAGAGCCTTCCCTTTTCCAGGCTGAACAAGACCAACTCTCTTAGCCTGTCCTCACAGTAGAGATGTTCCAACCCTCTAATCATCTTGGTAGCCCTCCTCTGGACTCGTTCTAACAGTTCTATATCCTTCTTGTGTTGTGCCATCAGAGCTGGACACAGTATTCCAGGTGGAGTCTCATGAGGGCAGAGTAGAGGGGCAGAATCACCTCCCCCAACCTACTGACCACACTTTTTTTGATGCAGCCCAGAATCTGGTTGGCTTTTTGGGCTGCAAACACACACTGTTGGCTCATGTTGATCTTATCATCCACCAACACACCCAAGTCCTTCTTCCCAGAGCTGTTCCCAGAGCTGTTCCCAGACTCTTATCTGTGCTTGAGATTGCACCAGCCCAGGTGCAGGACCTTATACCTGGCCTTGTTAAACTTCATGAGGTTGGCCTGGGCCCACCTCTCCAGCCTATCCAGGTCCCTCTGGATGGCATCCTTTCCCTCCAGTGTGTCAACCACACCACACAGCTTGGTGTCATCAGCAAACTTGCTGAGGGTGCATTCCATCCCACTATCCATATTGACAACAAAGATAATTAAACAGCACTGGTCCCAGGACCGATCCTTGAGGGACACCGCTTGTCACCAGTCTCCAGTTGGACACTGAACCATTGACCACAACCCTTAAATTGCAGCCTTCCAGCCAATTCCTTATCCACCAAGTGGTCCTTCCACAAATCCATGTCTTTCCAACCTGGAGACCAGGCTGTCATGCAGGACAGTGTCAAAGACCTTTTACAAGTCCAGGTAAATGACATCAGTTGCTCTTCCCTTATCTTTTGATGCTGTCACTCCATCATAAAAAGCTACCAGATTTGTCTGGCAGGATTTTCCCCTGGTGAAGCCATGTTGGTTGCCACCAATCACCTCCGCATTATACATGTACTCTAGCAGAGCCTTCAGGAGGATTTCCTCCATGATCTTGCCAGCCACGGAGGTAGACTGACTGGCCTGTAGTTGCCTGAATCTTCCTTTTTTTCCCTTTTAAAAAATGGAGGCAATGTTTCCCCTTTTCCAGTCAGTGGGCAATTCACCAGACTGCCATGACCTCTCAAATATGGAGAGTGGCCTAGCAACTTCATCTGCCAGTTCCTTCAGGATCTGTGGATGGATCTCATAGGCCACATAGACTTGTATACTTCCAGATTCCCTAGATGTTCTTGAACCTGATCTTCACTGACAGTGGGTGAATTATCCTTCTCCCAGTCCTCCCCACCTTCAGCTTCTACATTTTGGGTAGTGTGGCTGAAGCCCTTGCCAATTAAGACTGAGGCAAAGAAATCATTGAGAACCTCAGCCTTCTCCATATCCTCTGTGACCAGTTATCTTGTTCCCTTCCGGAGAGGACCCACATCTTTCCTAGCCTTCCTTTTATCATTTACATGCCTAAAAAAGTTTTTCTTATTCCCCTTGATGTCCCAGGCTAGATTTATCTTCAATACCAGGAGAATCTTCGCATGTATAACCCATCAGAAGGATGCTCTTCTGGCAATCCAGCAAACTTTAGTTAGGATTGGGATAGTCATAGGAAGTGCTCACTTAGCCTTCATGTATCTTGACTTATAACTGTTTCCAGAGCAGAGAACAGTTTAGAGAATACAAACCTTATAATCTATTTATTTCAGCACTGGCTGATATTTGAAGAAATATATATCAACAGTGTTCCAAGTGGGAGCAGACAAGCAGTTGCATTCCCTCTGTTATGTGCATTTAAGGAAGTTGCTTTTTGCACAAAAAAAAGTCATGTAAACTTTACTCAACTTACATTTATAATGTTTGCTTGCAATTGAATAACATTTGCTAAGCATAAACCTTGGTGTTTGGTCTTACCACAAAAATAGAAAAAGAATTTTTTATGTCCTGGAGAAAACAAAAATTATTTTTTTTGCCCAACTCACATTTATCCATATCATATGAAAAGTCCACTTAAATGTGGACATTTGCCAGAAACACCAAGTCTGTATCGTTAGCACATAATTATTTTATTTCTTATTTTTCAGCTGGGTTTTCTAAGGTCTTGATCTTCCATTTCTTATTCATTATGTTCCAAGTAGCCAAGAAATCAAAGGTAAAATAAGAGATTTACTGACAGACAACTCCCATTTTGTCATTATACAAAAAACATATTTGCATATGCAACTTCCAGCAATTATATTAAGAATCCAGTTAGTTATGTGGCTGTGTTTGCCAGTGCAGATTTTGCAAGATATCCTCATAACCTCACCAGTCAGAAGTTTTCCTCAAATGTTCTCTATAAATCATCTTACAGTCTCAGTGACAGAATGATTCACACCAAGAGCTGCAGCTAATCCCTCCAAGCCAAAGGAAGCTGTGCTGATCACGTCTCTATGGCAAAGACAGGACTGCCTGGGGCAGGAGACTTCCCTGGAGAAATCCTGGGTCTGGGAGAAGTGCTTGTGAGATCACTTACCTTTTATAGCCCTTATAAAATGCTTTGAACGAAGGTGGCAGTATGGTATTGAATGGTATTGGACGGCAATGGCCATGTGACCCACTGGGTGAGAGACCATGCTATGCTCCCGCCCATGAAGGAGCAGTCTGTCTTCACAAGGGATGAGGAATTTTGACCAAATGCCATTATACAGGTAAACATATTCCCCTTACCTAGCTCTTCTGGTTTCTTCTATTGACCAAAGTGTATTCTTCACCGTCCTACCTCTAAATGCTTTCATGTTGATGCTAACACACTGCATATTGCTGGTATGATTACAGTAAGGTAGATATTTGCTATTCCTCTAATGCACTTGATGTATTTTGTTGCTTTTTTTTAAATTTAATACTACACAAGCAAAACACCAACAACAACACATCTGAGTAAGGACTAGAGGAATTTAGCACAACAGTAAATGCCTGTTCAAAGTAAATGTCCTATCTGATAATGTGCTAAGCCTAAACTTGAAAAATACAGAGACATTTACTGGGTTGTCTGGTTTCTTGTTAGCTCTTCTTCAGGTTACCCAGAATATTTGCCTAACCTGCCCTGCTTTGCCTGGACTATTGGCCATAATACAGCAATAACTGCTTAGCATACCCAAGTCATACTTAATTTTAGCTTCTTCCAGGTTAGTCAGGACAAGAAAACTTACACTGCCTCATGTTCCAGAAATAAAGGTATTTCTGGTCATTGTCACATTTTCCATAACTTCAAGTTTAAGGCCACCTGCTTCACTGCTTTCTTCATCATATTTTCTAAGTGTGCTTTCTTTCTCTTTGGATCATGGAGGTAACATAACTTGGCTGAAAACTTTTGAGCTGATTTTCCAAAAACCAAAATCTGCTTTTCCATTTTTTTCAGTGTATATCTCTTTAACCAGAGGAACCTCACAGGGAAGTCATAAGGGAGTTTAATCCTAATGCCTCTGTAACCAGTTGTACAAAAGGAAGTATTAGAGACAGAAAGCACCTATTCTCGAGGTCAGGCTTGGATTTCAGTATATTGAGCAAAGAACATTATCAGTCCACTGCTGGGGAATCTCCTGCTGGAGATTTCTGTGGAAATCATTTGAAACTACAAGGTTGCACAAAAGTAGCCCTGCTATAAAAGGGCTGGTGTTTCCAGAGGGGTGACTCACTTGCTGACAAATAACCTTTTTTAGGGGAAATAGCCCAGCTACCCACTAAAGGATCCTTGAAAAGTCAGAGGTGGTAATTCCAGTTCTTGGATGGGTTGGATGATATTTCCACTGAGGGAAGCAAAGGCAGTCCTACAGAAAAGCCTCGGGGAGAGAACTTGGCTTTCAGAGCACATCCTATAGGAGCACCTAATCCCAAGCAGTGGCCTCCCAAAGAAAACTGAGATGCTGTTCTTTGGTTTGGTCACAAGCTAGATGGTGTTATTTCTGGATAGCTTTGCTTCCTTTTTTTTTTTTTTTTCAGTATCTTTCTGAGAATTTTGTGGGATTTTGCTAGTTCCTTGTTACCCACTGAACATACGTCAAAGCTGCTTGGTGTCTATTAATTAGCTTTTTGTTCTGTACGTGTGGATGGAAGCGAGCAAGGTTGCTTTGCTGGTGTCCCAAGCAGTCCTTGCAAAAACAGCCACTATGATGTCAAAAGAAACAGTAAATCTCTGGCATAACAAAAGAGAATCAAAGTGACTTACAGAAAAATGTTATAGCGGTGTTATTTTCCCAACACACACACTCGACAGTATTGTAGAAAATTCCTTAAGCAACAGAAATGGAAAGAGAAACAAAGTTTAACATTTCAGTGTCTTACTCAGCAAAGTTTTCTGAGGAAAACAGATCAGCTGAAATAGTACTCTTTGTTAGTTTTTCCATATTCTTTATTCAAATAAAGATATGTGAGCTACATATGTTCCTGTTTAATTTGAGGATTTTATTCTAAATGCCTTTGATGTACATTAACTTGATATTTTTATTTATTAGTTATTGAAAAGAGTGGCACAGGGATAATGTTGAACGTGCAGTAAGTCAGTGCAGTATTTAGTTTGTAGAGATTTAATCAGAAAAGCAAGGTTTGTAGAGGGAGGAAATATCTTTTATTAGCCTAGCTGCCATAGTTGATTAAAAAAAGGACACAAATCTGAAAGCTTTTCCATTTTTCCAGTTAAGTCATTCAGTAATAAAAAAAGAGTACCTCTCCTGTACCTTTAAACCATAAAAGCTGCAGCAACACCAGTATGATGATACAAAAGATTAATTATTTGTACAGACATGGCCACAAAGCTATGTAACCTTATTGTCTGCATCTTCCCCTCTGCCCAGAACAGAAAACATGTTATTGCACTCACAGCTAATGATTCTGTTAGAAAAGGAGAGGCTGTAGTTGATGCATTTCATGAGAGAAATGACTTTAGGCAGATAAGACTAGCCTGACTCAGCCTCATGTAGCAGGCAGGAGGACGGTGTGTGTGTGAGAGAACTGCAGTATAGCACAGCTTATAGAACCAGGAGCAAACTCTCTGTTTCAAACCCTGAGCACTCACAACAAAACAAAAATAAAGTCCAGATCTGTGATCTTGTTTAAGTATTACTTAGGCTGATGAAAAGATCCAGGATTGAGTTTGAGTGACAAGTTTAGCCTCCTCACAGGGCAAAGGTTTGAAATTCCTTTACCTAATGAGTAATTGTATCATGCCACCCCTGCTGAGCTGCTAATAGCAAATAAGAGACATTTTGGGACAGAGGGAAACTAGGAGTCCTTTCTAATTAAGTGTGCCCCTCTCTGAGTCTCTAGATAAATTCCACAATACTTTTTAGCCCATACTTGCATACCGCACTTATTTCAAAGTCCTTGTGCCCCTCTTGCTTTGCTGTTTTTCCTGCATGCTCTATCCACTGCTCTGCAGGCAGAAAATTCCACTTGAATTCCTTTTGTGTCTGGTCATTCCATAGATTAAATCAGAGTCCCTTGGTTTATTTTTAGGAATGCAATCATCTCTCCTATCAACATGTCTTTGGACCCTTCCTATTTCTATTTCCACCCTTAAGGTTCCTTTGAGTCTTTTATTTTATAAAGTCAATAGCCTTGTTTCTTTAATCTTAAACTGTGGTTTGTGAATTTACACATCATCTGGTTTATCTCTAGGCCTTTGTCTACACCAAGAAATACACAGAATGTCACGAAGTGTGCTCAGTTCTGCTCTCATGTATCACCACTTCTCTCAGACTTCAACTAGTTGTATGGAAGGTCAAACTGAGCCCAGGAGCCCTACAATGGCTAAGGTGCTCTCTAAGGGCTGGACGTGACTTGCCACAGACTTGCACCCCATAGCCAGTATGCCTCTTGGTGAATTGTCCCATTTCTTCATGTCTTCATGAACATGCTGTTCTGCCCCATGCCGTCAGTTCCTCTCATGTCTCCCATGCTTCCCACCACTGCAATATGGATAACCCTCTCCAGTGTGCTTCAGTGCCCCTAAATCTTCTGGGCAGCACAATCTGTGGCTGGCTGGGACGTGCCTGCATGCCAGCCAGCCAGCAAGCGTGCATGTGGGGATGGGTCGGGTGGCCGCTTTCAGATCGAACAAAGGCTGAGCTCTCTGCCATTCCCTTGAGAAACATGCTCCTCTCTGGCTCTTGTTTCTCTATGCAGACAAATGGTTCAATCAAATGTTTGGGAGCTGAACAACTTTGAGCCCTCTGCCCTTCTGCTGAATCTGATTGAAACTGGTGAATTGCATCACAAAGTTCTTAAGAGTGACAGAAGACACACAGATCATGGTATGAACAGGCTGCAAAAATCATGTAGCAATCATTTTCTTAAGAAACAAGGCTAAAAACCTAATGGCCTGGGTGGAGAATTACATCAGGGAAGCTGGATTTGGCTTCCTGATTCTGAGACTCAGCCTGTGCCTTGCCATAAATAACGTTGCTGACAGGCAGTTTTAAATTGCACAACAAATGGACCAGGGCAGGGCTACTTGATGGAGCAGAGCAAAACACATCCCCTGTTCTTTCCTGCTTTTCTGCTCCTTGCTGCCAGATGCCTCCTCTTTCTCCTTTCCTTACACAACCAACTGTAGAGATAAGTATCTGTACTATCAGGCTTCTCCTGTCCTGAAGAGAATATATGCCCCGATGGTCATTGTATCCCCAGGTCTCCTCATGCAAAATATAGCTGACTTGTATGAGTGGATCTCAGACAGTTTGCAGCAGTGTTGACCCCTCTCATCTACAGCCAGCTCTGGTGCTGGTCTGGGTCTGGTTCTTGTGTGTCATTTAGTTCTGGTGCACCTAAAACTTCATATGCTTGAGGTGGTGTAAATCCCTGTGGTAGACAGTAGCTACTCTCTAATTTTTAAAGGACAGATACTAAAGTAGTGAAGGCACAAAATTAATAAATGGATAAGACTAGAAAGGGAGTGAGTATGCTTGTGAAGCAAAGTTTGTAGTGTATGGGCTCTTTGCAACAAGTTTAACAGAAACTAGCAGAAATTGTCTGAGATCCTTGTTATATTCAGTCTTCCTGGTACCTCCTTCATGATGTGAGCTAGAGCTCTTTTGGCACTGGATTTTTGTCACTCTTCAGATATTCTAATTATCTGCCCTAACAGGAGCCTAGTTTCCTAGTTCACTGTTTCTTTTTCCTCCCTCGAGACTATTTCGGGCATCTGTTTCCACATCATTATGTGAACACTGCGTGCAAAAATGTCTTTAATGTTTTAGCAAGAGTCTACCTAGCCTATCAAGTAAATTCAAATTTGTAAATCTACAAGAAAATCTACTTTTTCACTGACTCTTTTTTTCCTTTAGGATGAGCTTGCAAAGCACCTTTGTAACATGCATGAAAACCTTCTGATTTCCTCACCCTTTTTTACCTCCTTACCTGATATACCTGATATGAAGCATTGCTGGTTGATCATTTATTTGCTCCATCCATCCAACTGGACACATTTGGAGTCCAGTCCTCACTGATGGTAATGGGTGTGGGAAGGGAGGGAATGTGGCACCTCACAGAATTCACCTCTGAGAGGTAAACCAGAAATACAAAAGAGATCTGCATCCCACCTGGACCTGCAGAGCCCCTCTCCACTCATACAGATATTTCATACCCACACCTTTAGCTTTTTTGTGCAAATATATGGTGCCAAGCAGAGGTGCTGAGGGCTTTACAAGGCTGT